TGAGCGTCGACGTCAAAGTCCGAGTAAACATATATTAATAACAGACTTAAAATGTGGAAAATGTGTTAAAATGATATTATAATGTGTAAATATGAGTAAAATAACACTATAATGTATGTTGAGTAATTTATACTGATTGACCTATTAATCAAACCTTTGTGCAAAACCCTTTGTCCTCAAACCAAATTTTTCTTATATGATAGAAAATTTTTATCCATTAAATCTGAAGTTCATTAAATCAAAAGTCTAATCTATTTAAAAGTTACCATAAGTTTGAGAATGAAAGCATATTTATTTTTGTAAAATAACTAATTTACAAATATCAAACTAAACACTACTTAATAATTACCTTGTGCAAGTCTAACCATACTTTCAAGTAATCTAATTGTAGTTCTAGCAGCATTACGGTTTTCTGTATTACGCTGACATTGATAATATTTCTGAAGTATTCTATTAGAAAATAATAAACTTTAATTGCTTGATTTTAGAAATTAAAAACTGAAATTTCAATCTAACAGCATTTTTAACAGCATTATAAGTAAACTATTTCTATTTAAAATTATTTTTAAAAAATAAAAATTTTAAGTATCTTGATTTTCTTATTTAACCAAATAAAAATACTGTAATAAAAGAAAATATATCCTCCTAAGACACTTACTCTAAGATATATTATGACATTATGGAACCTTTGAAATAAGTCTAACGAAACAACCAATGTTTTTAGCTCATTCCAGATATAAACTATCTTAAAGAAATTCTATGTATTTAGATATAAAAAATTAAAAAATAATAATTTTATGTATAACTCAATAAAAATTATTTAAATTTTAAGCTTTATTGTTATACAAGCAATTAATGTCACAATATTACTACATATCATTTCAACTCTAACAAATAAACAAAGGAAGAAAACTACAATAAAACATTGCCAAATTTCGTAATGAGGACACCATTATATTATATTTTGTCTTAATGTACCTCTTCAGAAACAAGTTTAATTTGGATAATTTATAATTTATTTATTTATTTATTATTATTATTTTTTTTTAGTTTTCACAACTTTGGCTGAAATTTTTATGAAATTTTCACAAACATAGTAATACATATCAGAAAGTGTTTTTCTATTTTTTCATACATTTAGAAGTATTCTGTCATTGGGCTGCAAGTTTAAAAAATTGTAGACCTATAAATTCCCACCATTGTCCATCTGTCTGTCCTCTCTTAATCTCGAGAATGGAGTTAGATAGATGAAATCCAGAACATATATGGAAAGCTAAGGGGCAGGAGGCCTCAATTAACTATATACAAATTTCCAATGCAAACCAGAAGTCATGTTATTTCAATTCAAAAATTTTCCCCTGAAAGGAGTTAGATAGATGACCAGCATGACTATTCTAACAGGAAAAAGGGGCAAGACACTGCTACTTTGAAGGTGGAGAGCATATTTTAAATTAAATAAATTAACAATATGATTAAAATTGCAACCCAGATTATGACACTGTCACAATAAATAATTGCTCGTTTAATAAAAGTTAAAAAAATTTATGTATAATTATAAAACAAATTATTTTGTGAAATTTGACGAAAATGATTTAAATATTTATATAATTTTTAAATTAAATGAAAACTATATAATGGATGACATCAGAGATTTTTCGCTGACTGAAAAATGTAGACACCTGCAAGACTGCCAAAAACAGAAAAATTATTTTTATTATTTTTTTTTTTATCAATAAAGTCAAACCTCAGGTTACAAACACCCTTGTTTACAAACAAAATTTTGGATGCCATATTTGCTCTGGTTGCCATATGATAACTCGATTTTTGAACAAGCTATTTGACAGAGCCAGCCACTGATGGTCAACTTCATACACTTCCTATGTTAAAGAAAGTTGACAATCTGACCAATCAATGACAGGACTACTAATTTAGAAGTTAGTGGCGCAGAGATCATCTTGCATCATTAGATGTCGTGACATGAACCATCAATGTTATTACTACTTCTGTTTTTCAATATGCGTTGCAATTGAATTTAAATCAAATTAATTAATAAAAACCATGTTAATTGACATTTGCATAATATAAATGGCATCCATGAATTTGTGTTTAAAGGTGCTTAATTGAAATTAAATAACAAAAATATATTATAATATTAATATTTATTAATACTAGATAGCAAGTTAATTAAAACTAAAAATAATAATTAAAACTTTGGCCTTTACACCAAAACTGAAACTAAAATTAAAAATAAAATTAATTAATAATTTAAATTTAAATGAAAATTTAAATCAAAGCAATTGAAACATAATATTTTGCAAATTGTGAATAAAGTACTTATTATCTCTCTTGATTGATTTGGTTATATTTCATCCAGGCAGTCAGAGTTGAGTCTTCATTTATAGCACTTTGTAATTTGTAAAGAAAGAGTTAGTGAAAGTTTTGGTTGGTGGCAACAGAACATTTTGCTTTTAATATATATACAGTATATATATATATATATTAGGGTGTCTCTTATATGGAAAAAAAATTTTTTTTGAATTTTTAAACACATACCCTTTAANCACATATATATATATATATATATATATAGCTGTTTATATATATACGAGATCAGAACATATATATAGATTTAAAAATTATATGATGTATATGAAATTTCCTATATAATTTTTAAATTTCATATATACTTGGAACTTCATACAACTGACATTTGATTCCAAAACTTTATGAGCTGTAGCTAAACTGGATGATAGTTTGAAAATGATTCTTATATATTAAAAAATTTTGGTTGCCTTAAAATAGCTATACTTTTACTTTATTTTCTTACAATCTTTATTTAACATATTTTGGAAATTTAAATATTTCTTATATGTTTAGTATTAGATAATAATTAAGTTTAAATGTTTAAATTAATTTTTAATTATTTTTTATAAATTATAAATAAATTATTTTTGTTAAATATATTTTATATTGAGTAATTTTTTATATTTATGTTTGTAATACATTTATTGTCATAAAAATTAGTACACCAAGGAGTTGTGAGAATTGAAGAAAATTGTACATATGTGTAACGGTGATTACAAAATGAAAGCAAAAGGATCATTTGTTACAGGAAAAACTACAAATGAAAAGAGGTTCTAGTACCCTGTTTTACCATCTCTAGTGTGATTACATGATATAATATGGACAGGTACGGAGGCACATAGGTGCTGTATGGTGTCTTGTGGCATTTCAGTCCACAGTTGCTGCAAGCAGTCTTCTAGTTCAGCAACTTCTAGGCTGTTCGACTTGGCATCCCAGGTGATTCCAGACATGTTTGATTGGTAACAAATGAAGGGATCTGTCTGGCCAGGGAAGTGTGACTATGTGGCAGAGGCAGTCCTCACCCTTGCTGTGTGGAGTTGAGCAGTTTCCTGTTGGAAAATGGCTGTTGGGAGCCCTGCCATGAGATGCAACACATGTGGCTGCAGGATATCACTAACATACTGTTGGGCTGTCATGGTTTCTTGGATCACTATTAGAGGACTGGCTGTCATATCTGATGGAACCCTAGACATCACATCCAGCTGCAAGGGCATTGTGCTTGCTCCAAAGTGTAGGCAGGGTTGAGACATTTACCATGGGTCTTCCAGACACAAACACTGCTGTCATCAGTGCCCAAACTGAATCTGGATTTGCAGACGATCTGGTTCCATTCCATTGCAGTCCAGTCCCATTGGGAGTGACGCTGCTTCAAACAGAAACAATGGTGGGTGGCTGTCAATGGCAACACATGTAATGGTTGCTGTGATACCAAATGTTTCTCATCCAGGCACTTCAAAATGGTATGGACAGACACAGGTGCCTATAATAATGGTACCGCCTGTGTCTGTATGGCAGACAACAATATGATCAGCTCTGTGTGTGTTTGTTGGAGGACCAGGCAATCCTCTCTCTGAGTCTGCTGAGGTCATGCTGTGCACTGTGTGTGTGAGCTCTCTTGTCCACTGGTCCCAACATCTCTCAGTGTTGTCAAAATGGCCTAGGTGGCATGCTATTTGGCAAGATGACCATTTGGCTTCTCTCAACTTGATGATCTTTCCTTTCTCAAGCTTATTTAGTTGTTTATATGGTCTTTGATTGTGAAGTAAAAGCATCTCTAGTGATACAACATCCCTCTGAAACAGGTAAACTGCAGATAAGATGCCTTTGTATGCTTTTTTTATAGGCTAAGGGGGACATCCTCTGCTGGCATTATGCAATGAGCCATTATTCTATAACTCTAATCATTTCCATGTCTGCTTGAAATTTATCTGCATGCCAAGTTTTGTAGTGATATGACAACTCTTTTGTGTGCTAATGTTTCTGGCAATGAGTGTATAAAAATAAGTTTTTAGACTTATTTATCTAAATAATGAATTTTATCATAAAATATTTGAAATTTGAAGATATTTATTACCATCTTCAAATATTTTTAAAATACTTTATATATTTAACATATTTAAAATTTTTAATATGTTTTAAATACTTTAATAAATAGGATTGGGAACATTGTCAAGAAGATGACAGAATTATGATTGAAAGAATACTTATTTTAATTCGGAACATATTACACATTCCTTCAGATTCAGTCAGTGAAAAGAGAACAGATGATGATGTTAGTATTCATGATCAAATAGTTTGGTATGTTTATTTTTGTTATTAATTGTTAACAAAATGAATTAATATCTTTACTTTGCTTTAAGATATTAATTAATTATATACATAAATGGTTTTTGAATGCTGTTTGACTTAGCATGTTATTGCAAGCAAATATATAATAATAAATACAAAATAAAACCATGGGAAACATGTTGGGAAACACTGATGTACAGTATTTAGAAAAATAAAACAAATGTTTTTATTTTATTTTTCCAAATACTGTACATCAGTGTTTCCCAACATAGGGCCCATGCCCCACAGGGGGGTAATTCAAAAATGGACTCGTCCAGAGATTAAGTTAATCATATAGCTGCTGTATATATTAGAGGGGGCATAAGAATTTTAGAAAGGCTTAGGTGGGGCATAGCTCAAAAAAGGTTGGGAAACACTGCTGTACATTATTAAACAGCTATATACAGGAAGGATTTTTTTCCATTGTGTGTAGACAGTTTCTTTTTCAACCTCCGATAATCCATAAAACAAAGACAAGTGTAAATAACAAAATGAATTTATTACCAAAAGTTAGGTACAAACATGGCTACTTTTTGACATAATCACCGTGAAGATTGAGGCATTTCTCACACCTGTGGACAAGCTTTGAAATCCCCTCTTCATAGAATGTTGCCGCCAGTGACCCGAGATGGTCTTAATGATGTTGTTTTGAAGATTGTCATTAGTCTCAAACCTCTGCCCTCCTAGCCACATTTTCATTTCAGGAAAGAGATTGAAGTCTTCACACATTAAAAAGTTCAAAGCTGTGTAGAAGTCTTTACTAAATTGGGGTTATACATTAGGTGTTTAAAGGCCTATGTATAACCCCAATATACAACCTAACATTTAGCCCCAATTTAGCACTGAGAGTCTTCCACCTCTTTCCTGAACAGAAAACATGGCTAGGAGGGCAGAGGTTTGAGACTAATGACAATCTTCAAAACAACATTGTTAAGGCCATCTCAGGTCACTGGCAGCAACATTCTATGAAGGGATTTCAAAACTCATCCATAGATGTGATAAATGCCTCAATCTTCATGGTGATTATGCCAAAAAGTAACCATGTTTGTACCTAACTTTTGGTAATAAATTCATTTTGTTATTTACACTTGTTATGTCTGTTTTATGGACCATTGGAGGTTGAAAAAGAAACTGCCCTCATATATTCCAATTAACTTTTGTGACTCTTTTTTTAGAAGAAGCAATGTTACATTTTCTAATTGTTAGAACTTTTAATTTATGTTTCAAGAATTGAAACTAAGAACTAAACTTATATGCAGTTTTGAAGACATTTCTGACTACATTCCAAACATTGTGATCAAAACCATGGTTTTGATCACAATGTTTGGAATGTAGTCAGAAAAAAATCATTCCTGATGAGGCTAATTTAGTAAGAAAATCAACATCAGATGGTTCACTTTTAACTATTCTGTTGTCTTTTTTATCTACTTGATTATACATAAGACAGTCATAAATTTTAGAACAAAATAAGAGAATAAAAAATTAATGTTTGTCTTTTATATATAAAAGAAACTCTGCCATTTTTGAAGCATTATGCAACAATAAGAATTATACCAATTCACTAAAAAGAAATGGAATACATGAGATCCTTAACAAATGTAAAAGGGTTGGTATTAGTGATTGCATTATCAGTAACCAGTTTACTAGTATATCGGTAAATTAGGAAAATTATACTCAAGTAAATTTACTGGTATTTCAGTTTAAAAACCTCTTAATTAATTCAATATTTATTTTCCAAAAATTCCCATGGGAAATACCTGTGGAAACAGATTTTTTTTTGTCTCCCAAATATCATAGTGAGAAAACAGTGCAGGTGGTGATGGGTCATTCCATTTGTAATTTAAGGTTATTAAAAGGAATTTTTTAGTTTTTTTATAACTTGATTCCTTGTATTGTACTCCAAAATCAAGACCCATTTTTGGAGTATAATACAGGAAAATAACTCAGAAAAATTGAACAAATATAAGTCACACAAAATATCCAGTAATGTTAACAAAAATATAATTTTGAATAGGATTGTAGAAATAATCGAGTGCTTATCAGAAAATGAAAACGAATCATGACTTTTGGATGTCACTGAAATTAGTTCAGACTCAGATTTTAGTGAGAGGTGTTCATTGCTTACCACATCAACTTCTCACATTGATGTGAGAACAAAGTGCACAATAGAAAAGTCAAATTTAACAATGAAAGAGAAATTGGACTTATTCATTAAACATAAAATGAGCATAGACACTCATAACAGTAATATAAGTAGAGGTTGAAAAAGAAAATGCCCTCATATATTCCAATTAACTTTTGTGACTCTTTTCTTAGAAGAAGCAATCTTACATTTTCTAATTGTTAGAACTTTTAATTTATGTTTCAAGAATTGAAACTAAGAAATTGGAATATATGAGGGCAGTTTCTTACCAAAAGTGTGGTAAGTGGTAAGTTTAAAAGATATAGTTAAGAAAGAAATGAATTATTTCTTAGAGCAAAAAATACAAGGAGCATATCTTAAAAAGGTTGTCAATGCTCTAATGACAGTACGTCCAACTAGTATTGATTCCAAGAGAGCTTTTTCTAGTGCAGCTGCCATTTGTACAAAAATTAGATCTAGATTAGATGAAAAGAGCCTAAATGTATTGTTTTTTTAAGAGCCTACTTTCAAAATAAAGAAAAACATAATTAATTATCAGAATTATTTCAATGTCTGTTATGTCATAATAATTGCTATTACAAGAATGTTGTTTGTCTAAACCAGGGCTTCTTAAACTTTTTTATTCACAACCCCATTTATGATTGTGATTTTTTTGTGACTCAGAAAATATAAAATAAAGATATACACAAATTTGCAAAAACAATAATGGTGTACTACCACAGTTCACACTTGTGTTACAATGGAAAAGAGACAACTGAATACACTGAAAAGCGACAATACTACACTAGTTTACACTACAGTGTTGCTGAATCGTTGTCTCTCTGCACCAGAAGTGACACAAAGCGCAACTCACGAAACCTATGACACAAAGTGTGTCATTTTTAAACTCTCACAAATTATTTTCAATATTTTGCATTAAAATCTCATGACCCCAAGATTTTGCTAAGCAACCCCAAATGGGATAGCGACCCATAGTTTAAGAAGCCCTGGTCTAAATTGATAGAAAACTTGAAAATAAATGGTTGTCCAATAATTCTGTCAGTAATTCAGTTTCGTTTTAAATAATTTGTTAATACGAATTTACCGGTAAATTACTGATAAACTGGTAATCCCAAATATAATTACTGAATTACCGGTAATGTAATACCTGGCAAATTTGCAGTCACTAGTTGGTATAGATATGGAATATGTTGGAATTACATAGAGAAATATAATTTGTAGAGTAAATTAGAGACATTCAGACTAATAAAGATAACAGCTCAAATGCATAGGCTTTCTATGCATTTGAGCTTTATCTTTATCTTATTCTTTATAGCTATCTTGAAGAAAACAGACATTTTTATGAAATAACATCCAAATTGCCTTGATCTTAGGATAGCCATTAAACTGCTGAATTTGTTTTGATATTGGAAGAACTTTAAAGCAAGTACAGAAATTCAGACTATCTTCTTTCAACATGGGAATGGTTAATTTCTAAAAAAATTATAAATAAGTTAAACTAATTATGAACTTCTCTAAAGGTTTTAAATGTATGTATTATTATGTCATGATTATGTCATTGATTTATTTTAGTGTAACCACAGAAACAAAACTGATTATGCTTTTTTCTTAAGTAACTGGGTTTTATTTTCAAATTTGTTTCTGATTATGATTATTTAATACTTAGAAACATATAAACTGTTTTGGTAAGCTATTTTAATCCATTAAAGTGTTTTTTTAATAATTATTGCAGATTGTGATCTTATAAATTATTATAAATGTGTCATAATGATTGTCATCCAATCCAATGAGATTACAATCAAACTTTGGGTTTCAAATGCCTCTGTATGAACAATTTGGTTTACAAACAAAATTTTGAACACCATATTTGCCCTGGTTGTTGTTTGATAACTCGGTTGCTGAACAAGCTACACAGCAAGAGCTGTCCACAGATAGTCAACTTCTTATACTTCTTGTGTTAAAGAAACTCAATGGAACTACCAATTCAGAAGCTAGTGGCACTGAGATCACCTCATGTCATTAGATTGCAACACAGATCAATGATGTAGTTATTGGGCTGCAATTTCAAAAAATTGTAGACCTATAAATCCCACTGTCATCTATCCATTCGTCTATCTGTCTTCACTTAATCTCGAGAACGGAGTTAGATGAAAGACGAGACCAGATATGGAAAGCTTAGGGGCAGGAGGCCCCAGTTAATTGTATAAGAACTTCCAATGCAAACTGGAAGTCACGTTATTTCAATTAAAAAATTTTTCCCTGTAAGGTGTTAGATAGACACAGAGCCGGATTTGAGGCGATTGGAGCGATTTGTGCCAATTGGGCCCTATGCTTGAAGGGGCCCCGCAGCACATCAAAATTTATATATTCAAAAATAGTACATGTTACAAAAATAAATATCTAGGTATATTATTATTAAAAATATAACAACATATTTCAATATGTAAATTAACTGTTAATTAATTTTGTTATTTAAAGTTTGAGGGGCCACGCAAAAAAATTCAATTGGGCCTTGCACCTATTGAATCTGGTGCTGTATAGATGACCAACGCGACTCTATTGTTAAAGAAAAAGTATGATGTATGATGTACAGGGACAAGACACTAATTTGAGTTGGAGAGCATATATTTTAAATTATATTATAAATTAAATAAGTTAAAAATATAATTAAAAATTGCAGCCTGGCTTGTGACAATGTCATAATAAATAATTGCTTGTTTAAATTATATTTCAATGTGCATTCAAGTAAGATACTACTACTGATTTTTGGTACATGTTGCAATTGAATTTAAATCAAATTAATTAATAAAAACCATGTTAATTGACA